TGCCAATTGAAACAGAAAAGAGACACAACCCGAGTTGCATAAACACCACATGTCACAACAGTATACAAACTAGAAATTTACTTTTACAATTTACATGGAAAAGAGAAAACCCAAGTCAATGGCATTATCTATCTAGCTCAGACTCTGAATGAATTGCTTGAAAAAGAAACTAAAGGTTATATAATAGAGGGTAAAATTAGTACTGAAATAAACGTGAGGCATCAAAATTTAAAAAAAAAAAAAAAAAATTACACTATTTTGACGGCTCTCAATTAACCATGAAAACCAAAAAAGCCTTTCCGAACAATGCAAAGTAGAACCATGAATGACATACACACAGGCAATTGAGCCAAATGCCTCATAGTGGCTGCCAAGACAGCAACTAGTTAAGTTTCTCGATGATGCTGAGCTCCAAAACTTTGGATGATTTCTGTGAGTTTCCTTCCTTCACGTTTATAACCTTTTGACAGTTAATTATCAAAACCTGGTCACTGATATATGGGGAACATTAGTAACAAAAATGAGCCACAAAACCAACCAGAAAAGCTTTTACACTATGGACTTACAGACTTTATGAGAGCTATATATAGACATTAGCTGAGTCCACACGAGATAAATAACTCATTTATTTGGATTTTTTAACCAATCAAGCGTAAGATTTTTAATCTTAACTAATCCAACCAACTCAATTTTTAGGTGGTACTTTTTCTGTAGAAGAAAGTTTGTGTAAGTATTGTTTTCAATTCCTAATAGTATACATCAGTTTTGGTATAGAATTTCTTTCTTTGAACAATGTTTTGGTTTAGAATTTTCATTCCACTACAGTAGCTTAACAAGTGTAACCAAACAAGGGAATAGGAATGGATGTTCCATTTCCACGTCATTCAATGTTAGAAACCAACCAGCAGAGTGAGTGTCACACCCTCAAAAATAAACCCATAATATATATATCATTGACACGCAATATTAAAAGAAAGCAATTCATTATCTCATTCATCAGAGTACTACTAAATGAAAACATTACATGTAACATCAAATTAAATGCCCTATGGGCTTACATCTTTCCAAGCCAACACTTGGACACAAAAATATGAGTTCTAACTCAAATACAAATAATGCCCTAGGCTTGAATGTTTACATGTACTATCAAATAAAAACAATTAACTAAAGGTAGTCTTCAAAATCCAAATCCTTCCAAGCTAAGTCCTTGGAGGTAGCTTATCACCTGGACCTGAAAATGATGTTCCCATATAGGGTGAGCCATAGCCCAGTAGAAATATACTAAACCAAATATAAGCATTGAATAAAGCAATAGCATCAATAGATGGTTAACCAAGATAATCAATTATATCATTATACAGTCTCATGACACTAATGTCCATGACACGTTTCACTTTCCATTATTATCAATAAGGCTCAGAACCCGGCCAAACTTATAACAGTGAACTATATAACATATTCACATTACTTCCAATATCAACAACACAGATGAGACTCAGGCTCATATCAAAACACTTCATACTTCCCGTTTGACACACATTGTAGTGCTGTATCAATAACATGTAAAAACACTTCAATATAATAAGCACACATAATAGTGATGCTAATGGAGTCCATCCCCTATCTCCTCCCAAACAAAATCCGGTTTAGAGGTCCATCCCCTATCTTCCCCTAAACCGTGGAGTACATCCCCTATCTCCTCCCACACAATATGCAAATGCAATGCTCAATCAATACACGTATTTTCTGTATCAATGCAATAGTCAAAATTAAGGACTTAACCAATGTGATTAGTTTCAGTTATTCTTAATCCACATGCAATGTCTACAACAATCACGGCCATCCTCCACCGATAGCCCAAAACAGTTATTTCTAGACTGAAAATAAATATATCAACAATTTAATAGACGAGTGATTTAAATTATCCAACTACACCATTGAATTTAACCATCTTTTCCCAATTCCATGAATTACTTATACAAATTAATTCGATAATACATCTAGGGTTTTTCCCAAAATTTACCAAAGTAACCCCAACATATCAAATTACCAAAGCTTAGAACAAAACCTATAAAATGGAGTAGGAAATCCCTACCTTGAAGAAAATCACCCGAATGGAGAAGATAGAGATGAATGCCCAAATTCCAATGTGCTCCAAATCACCAAATGTTCAGATTAGAATGAAGCCCAAGCCGCCCTCTATCTTTCTTACAAAGAACTTAAGATGGATTCACACTAGAAGTAGATGAACACCTAAAGAGAAGATGAGTTTTGAGGGAGAGAAGTCGGACCCTACCTCGAAGAAAATAACCCGAATGGAGAAGGCGGAGATGATGACCCAAAACCAAAGTGCTCCGAAACTACAAACTCTCAGATTAAAACGAAGCTCTCGACTCACTCTATCTTTTTAATAAAGCAACTAGGGTAAAACACCCTAAAATGTGATGAAACCTAAGAAAGAAGGTGAGTAGAGGGAGAGAGAACTCGGAACTAGGGTTTTAGGATCAAAAGAATGTGAAAAAACGTTTTAAAAACCGCTGCTGCGTATATAAACCCGACAGGCTCGCTCGAGCGAACACTTTGTCGCTTGAGCGACCAGACACACAAAACCCTCGCTCGAGCGAAGAAAATCTCGCTCGAGCCAAGAATGCAATGCTTCAGGTCCGCAACCCAGGAGCACGCTCGAGCGATAGAATTCTCGCTCGAGTGAGGAACTCGAAAAACAAACACCTCACTCGCTCGAACAAAGAAAAGCTGGATCGATCCACCAGACACAAAATACAACCCTTGCTCGAGCGACCAAGCCCTGGCTCAAGCGACCAACCCAAAAACTGGACAGCAACACTTGGTTTACGAACCCAACCAACCTGAAACAAACCTGCCCAACACATCCTATAACTCCAAATGAGAAAATAAAGGACGACAACAACAATTATACAATGACAGAATATACGGAACCTAAGTCCGGATACAATAATCAAATGGGAAAAGACCGGGGTCGCTATAGTGAGAATGAGTATTTCATTCCACGCCATCTTGCATTCCACTCCCACTCTCATCCATCTTCCAATATTGAATTAGTCCTTTTCATCATCCAAAGCTGAATCACCATTAACACCACTAAGAACAAAGAGAACCGAGCAGATCCTTGTTGAGGGAAAACTTGAAAATCACAAAAGTCCTTCACCTTTTAAAGGGAAGTGTAGGCCTCTGACTTCTTTCATCTTATTAAATCAGCAACTGTATGGCAAGGGATATTTCAATATCCTTTTACCTGAGTTGCAACTATCTCTTTAATTAACTCCAAGACATTTTCCCAAGAAGCTAAACCATTATTGAAGATAAGGTTATTTCTGGTTTTCCAAATGGTCCAAAAAACTGTCATGGATGATTATAGCCTCCCATAAGAGCTTTTTGACATTCTTGAATTTTATTCCAAACCACCAATCAAGTAAGGCACTAACTGATGCAAAACAAACTCATTCCATTCCCCCCCAAGACAAACAATCACCCCAAATTTTCCAAGATCTTCTACATAGTAACTCATTTGCACAAATATTAACAGAGCCTAGAACAGGATTCATCCAGAGATATCATTTTAATCAAAAGATCACAAATGGTAATCCTTTTGCGCCGGACTAGCCAAGCAAAAACAACAATTCCAAAGGGGGCAATGCTTTTCCACAAACTCTATTGTAGGAATAATACAACATTGAGATGAGGTAAACAGGTTTTGTAAAGATTTTAGTGAGAAGTTACCTGATGGATCCACTCTCAAAATTAATTGATCCATTGATTGGCATTAACCTGATCAACATTTGGCAGCATTTGCAACAACCTATGATGGTCTTCCTCCTCCTCCCATACCAAGAAAATCTTCCTCTATGACATACTCATAATGATGAAATCATTAATGAGACCATCTTTGTTACATCAGACACCCATTTATCAAACAAAAAGAGAAATCTCATTCCATTTCCCAATTTTAGTAGCACATTATTGGGGACATGTTCAGGGGAAAAATAAAACTGCATTATCGTTTAAGAAATGAAATATCCCATCTCTTGTTGTCCCAATTTATCGTTTCACAAATCACTCTTTTCCAAAGGAGATTTGGCTCAGATGCAAACCTACACCACCACTTAATCAAGAGAGCTTCATTCTTGATTTTTAGATTAGAACTACCTAGAACCATAAATCTATGTAATGAATCTTTCATCATATAAGATTACGCTCACTGTAATTATAGTCACAGGGTTAGTATTCAATGTTTATTGGCTCTAGTTGTTTTGACAGAAAGACTCAAACTCATAGTAGGCAGGGCTGAGGAGGCTGTTGAAAGATTACGAAGTATTCTCTAGTTTCCTTTGCCATTTCAGGCACATAATTACTAATTTATGCAGTAACATTGTTCATATGATTTGAGTTCAGAAGGTGAAATCTTTTCACCCTTCTCTTTTAGAAAAAGAATCTCTAGGTGGACATCCCCTTGGCAGAACTTGTAATTCTTAGATACTTCAATCTTTAGTTTGTCGTCACTTACTCACTCTCTACTGCTGCAAAATGTGAAAATATGCTGACTGCAACTGAAGCCAAACAATATGCATCAAATTTCAACACTCAAATTATTTGATGAACAAAACATCATTTTTTTTGGGTAAGTCAATATATACCAAAGATCAAAAGTAAATACATAGTACAAGGAGCATACACAGACAACACAAACAAGGATGAGAATCATCTAAGCAAGCAAAAGATGAGGACAATACCATTTAGTCAATCTAGGCCTCGTTTACATCTCACATGAACATATGTACAACAGATACAACATACAGACCATGATAAGATAGCAATAGCTGCACAGAAAGGCTAGAAAGCCAAAACAGCAACAACAGTAGCATCAGCATAAAACCAGTCAATTTACGATTGAGCTTTTATATGTGACACATGCACAAAAGCGAATAGAGTTTGATAAAAGAAGAAGCATGACCAGAACCAAGGAAACAACAACAATACAGAATCATCAAGCCACTTCATATCTAGATTCAGCAAACCTTCTTTCGGTCTTCAACAAGAGGCAACATTTCTTTAAATTAGATGCAACATTTACTTCACCGGACGCAGCAGAAAATGATTGAAAGAGTTGATACCATCCTTCGGAAGCTCTTTTGGTTTCCCAAGGATAGCAATAGTTGGGGCAGAGCAGATAAATGAATGTATCAAACCTGTAAATGAAAACGAGAACAACAATGACAGATTTTTTTTTTATTTTTTATTTTTTTTTTGTGATAAATACAATGACAAACAAATATTTGACAAGCATCTTCCGAAACTTAAACCACATGAAACCTAAATAACATTTAGTTGGCATAGATGACATTTACACCTTGAACAATTTTTACTAAAATCTAAAAACACCACAGGGAAAATAATAATAATAATAATAATAATAATAATAATAATAATAATAATAATAAAAAATAAAATAAAAGAGTGGTTTAGCAACAAACTTATAGTGAATTATGAAAGCACTAAAATAAATAGTCTATGACTCTTTGACGGGAAGGAAAAAGCATTTCATCATAAAACTACTATTTGCATAAGCTTCTAGTAATGCCGAAATGAGAGCAAGACTAACCATATACCAAAAGAAGTTATTATATGTCACTAAAAGATATAGAGATACACAATGCCTAAACATGGTGAAATCAAATATGAGCAATGGAGTCGGTGTAAGCAACTAAGCATATAGCCATATCCGTAACCTATGGTAAAATTTGTAGTTTCTTCGATAGTCATGAGAAGACACAATCTCTAACAAACCAAATCTCTATGAAATGAAATACAGGCAAAACTTCAAGTAAAACAAGGTTACATGCTTTGGTGTGTTCAATTTTTCAAAATAAGCTTACAGTTTTCATCATTTGTTTAGCCATAAAGATGAATAACATAGTACATATGTCAAGTTAAACAGAATTAATAACCAGCTTAAATTTATTGAAATTTTGACAAATAAATGTGAACAATGGCCAAAATCATTGCATCACATTGATATATGCCTGCTATTTGAAAGGAAGGGTGTGTTCAATAGGTCAATTCTTGATAGACTCTCAGGATATATAATGGCATAAGAAGCATGGATACAGACACGTGATACGACACGGACACGCCGACAGGTTAATTTTCAAAAAATAAAGGACACGACACGTGGAGGACACGCGTAAAATATGTAATTTTATATATTTATTATATGTTATATATATTAATCTATCATTCAAAGATAATAAAAAATGCAATATGATATTAATTCCTACAAATTTATATGGTTTTTGTTTTATTATTGTGTCTTAAGTTATTTTGTTTAAACTTATAATTAGTTTCACATGTGTCCAGTCGATAGACACGTGTGTTTATGTGATTGACATGGTGTGTCTTCTAAGCTATGTTACATGGACTCGGGTACGAGTGTCGGGTGCGGGTGTGTATCCAAGCATCAGATCTTCATAAATTTAAATCTTAGGATCTTGGGGTATGTATCCAAAATTGGATATGGATACGGGGACATGTCATATGTACATATATATTGCATATTATATAATATTCTCAGATGAGATGATTTAAATTATGTAAAAATATATTAGAAATTAAATATGATTTAGAAAAAAATATGAAATTTCTATATCTAATTCATGTAGAAGCCTAAAAATATTGCTTTACTAACAAATGCAAGTTTCTTTTTCTTCATGTGTTGTCACAAATTAAAGGATCTGAGTGTCTAAATTGGGTACGAGCGTCAGACACATATCCCACACCCTTATCCATGTCATATCCGGTGGACACGGGTATTGTGGGGGAAATAGAAGAGTCCATGTAACACAGCTTCTAAGTACCCAAAGAGTGTCCGGGTCTTTAAAAAAATTTAAAAATTAGGACATGTTTTGAAGAGTGTCAGACACGTGTCCTAAGAGTGTCCAAAGAGTGTCGGTGTCCAACACGGACACGACACGGATACGTCACCTTCTTAAAAGTGTCTGTGCTTCTTAGACCGGCTCATTTACTTCATGTGAAGAATTGTTATTAATGAAAGCCATATAAAGGAGGTGTGAGGTGGGACTACAGAAAATAAACATTGGTACAAAAGCAAACAAACACTTTGTACAACCAACACGATGAAACAATATTTGTGCAATCCATACTTCGATTCTTTTTTTTCATTTGAAAAAAATTGTTTTAGTTGTACATGCATAACCACAAGTATGCCCAATGGCATGTGTGTGATGCAAGTAGAAGGTGTTGCACTTCACATATTCCAATGTTGATTTAAGAGTAGAGTTTGAAGCAGAATCCATTTCAAAAGCTACACATACAAAAGAAAACATGCCCGTCTCCTTTTAGACGTCAATGAACAAAATGAAAATCATGTCACAAACCATTACTTGATGAGTCTACCAAATAAATGAGGTTAGGAATTTAAAAACTTGACAAACCTCACTCATGTTCTACTTCATCAGTTCAAAATCATAGGTGGAGAAACAATTTTACAAAAATAAAAGAAAGAATATTTTAGATACAGAGTCAGATTTGATAATGCTTACATTGAGCTTTGGAAGAGCGGAAAGAAAGAAATAGAACTTCAAAATTAAAGAACCCTTAAACCACACTGTCATCCATAGACATCCCCACTTAAGCAGAAAAATTACTGAAAATTGAAAAGTAATTGGGTTAGTGATTGCCACAAAACAGAGATCAAACAAAATATGTAGACAAAGCAAAAAGGCATCAATGATTCATGGTGAAAATACATAAATTCTAGGTAAGTAATCGATGCTCCGACCCAAAAATTAAAAAAGAAAAAGAAATATATTGTGATTGGCCATGTGATCCTAATTATGTTTGGGCTGTTAAAGTGAGAAAACAAATTACCATTCTGCAATATGATTTTTATTTTTATTTTTTTATCAGAAAACAAAAAGAGTTTATGAATAATAATGTGAATCATTACAATCAATAAATAAACACGGGGAATGGATAATAAAGAATAGAAAAAAGCAGGCAGCATACAAAACCAGCTTAAACTCTGAACATAGGCCCAAAATCCCTCTATGAAGAAGAATACAGTGGTTTTTTGGCAAGAGACCAACAATGAGAACACTTGAAATGGAATTCTCTTGATTTTCAATAATATATATATATATATATATATTTAAGAAATTAATTTGGCCTCTTCATCTTCAACCTCCATCAAGTTAGAGCATCTCCAACCCTTCACCAATTTTTTCATCCACTTTGACTCCAAATTTGAATAAAAAGTTTGATTTGATATGAAATACTCCAATCCTTACATCAAAATCTTTTAAAAAATTCCTCTTATCCCAATTTTTTCTTTTTATCAAATTTGATGAAAAAAAATTTCATCTCAAATGCTTCATCTTTTTTTAATTTTTTTTCAATTTCAACCCTTCAAATTCAATGTTTTTATTTTTTTTAATTTTTTTTTTTACATTTAAAAGGGAAAACTGTTATGATAAAAAATAAAAACAAAATAAAAAAACATAGCCCAACCTCCCCATATATATATTATAAGTAATACACAGGCTCTGTTGTGATGAGATGAGGAGATTGCGACAGTGTTGCATTGATAAAAATAATAAAATAATAATTTTGATATATTTAGTTTGGGTGATTTGTGAGGAGTGAGTACCTGGTAGTTTTGATTGCTCATATTGCAGTTTATTCCTCTACCTCCTCTCTACTTCAAAGATGTATCTATTGTCTATGAAGACTGCAAGAATGGGAGTGATGAAGAGATTTCGAACATACTGCTCGAGCGAAACACTTCACTGCTCTAGCGGTAAATACAATGTTACAGAAGTTTTGCAGGTCTGCAGTGAAAGTCCTGGGAGCCTCACATCTACGCTTAAGTGAAGACTTGACTGCTCGAGCGGTCTTGCCTGTAAACAGGCAAGATACTAGGAGCCTCGAATCACCACTCGAGCGACCACTTGATCGCTCGAACGGTCTCCTAGAACAGAATGTTACAATCTTCCCCCCTTCAGGAAATTTCGTGAGTCCTGTCAACAACAAAGCCCAACAACCCAATGATGTTCAACACCATACTAACAATAACCACAACCATCAATAATGGAGATCCGATAAATAATGTTTTTAAGTAGCATAGCTGCATAGGTACTACAATAGATGAGCTCTATCCCTATCCAACATGTCAATACTGATACTTTCAAGAGAATAACCTTTCTTAAACTACGGGTAGCAGGTTGGGTTGGGTTGGGTTGGGTTGGGTTGGGTTGGGTTGGGTTGGGGGGGTGGATTGGCAGGTAAATTGCACGCCTATAATCCCAGGTTTATTCTTCTGTCCTTCTTCATTTTTCTTCTTCCTACATCACTACTCACTTTGTATTGAGAATGAATTCAAGTATTACTAACTTATTAAGATTTAACATGCCGTCCTTTAAAGGATGAAGGATTGGGACTTAGGAAACTGAGGTTTTTGAACAAAGAATTTTAGAAAATGGCTAGGGAGATATGCTGAGGAAGATAAGGGTAGTGTAGAATAAGGAATACTGTGAGGGCTAATAAAATTTGTACAAGTCTTTTGGGGTGAAATTATGGAAGAACTAAGGGAATGGCTAAGAAGAATTCTCCAAACATATTTACTTTTCGGTAGGAAATTTACAAAGATGAGATTTCATGATGACTACTGTATGGTAGTAAGCTCCACAGACTACTAGTTCCAAATCTCTTCAAAATCACATCATATAAGGAAGCCATGGTACCAGGGAATGTTAGTGGAGTAGATGGTACAGTGGTTTGGCCCAGTTGTATAGGGCCTTGCAAGAATGAGATGTTGACATGGTGGAAACATCGCCATGCTTTATCCCACTCTAGTAAATACCAAAGGGGTAGAAGGCTTATTTTGTGGCAGGAAGTCACAAAGCGTGAAAAATTTTAAGGTTCGATTCTATTCTAGGAATATTCCTAGCCAATAATTGACCAAGGCCTTCCTAAAGTGTCCCTTCTCTTTTTCCCTTGATAGATATCAACATTGGGAAGAATTATGATCTTGATAATTTGGTGAAATGGGAAAGTGTTCAAAGGAAATCCAGAAAAAATTAATAACCTATTGGCTATAGCCTAAACGCTTCTTTTTTTTTTTCATTATTTAGGATATAACTTACTAGAGCTAACAACTCAGAGTGGTCGTCAAGTGAGGATAAGAGTTAAACATTGATGGATGGTGGGCTCCTATTAGTGGTATGCCCTAAAAGCGCCTTGTCATTTTATTAATAAAGGGAAAAGTTTTATTTTTATCATACTATCTTTTTTGTGCTATTGTTTACATTGTAAGTCCATACAATTAAAGTTCAGAATTTATGTCTTAAGAGTTAAAATTGAGAGACATGTACTTCTCAGTATTTTATTCTTAAAAGTTCCTAGTTATACGATTACTATTTGGATGTTAGTAATCCAAACCAAATGGACTAGCACTGTGTTATGCTTGTTCAATTGGAAGAGGGAGTAATCTCAAGTCACTTGTGTGGAACAATCAAACAACCACGTGTGTGTTTGTTAGAGAACAAGTGACCACCCAGGAACATATCTAGTTCGCTTATATGTTATAGTTGTGTGTACAATCCTTAGACTGAGAACATCATGATTATCCTGTGTGCATTGCTAAGTTTTGACAATACAATATGTTTATATTCTAACAACGAAATATGAACCTATATAGATAGGACTTAGTGAGACACCCATGGAGGCACGTGAATGTTTAAGAATTGATCCATCACTCTCAAGTAAAGAGATAGAATATATGTGATCTTTTAGGATATAACTTGAGAAATACCTTGGTCAAGGCCAAGTAATAATTAGAAAGGAGTTTCTAATTTCAGCAATACAAGTTGATATGCATTAGATTAGACACATGATTGAGTTAGGGTAGTGGCGGAGCCAGAAAATCAAATTTGAGGGGGTACTTATTAATTACAATATCAAAAAATTTTACAAAAATATTTCACGCAAGTTTTTACGATTGATTTTGAGAAACATAAAAAAAAATAATGTTATTTATAACTAGTGTATCATGGACAATATAAAAAGATATAGATATGTCTTAAAATAAATTATATAATGATAAATTCTTTTTTTATACAAAATGTGATTAAAAATTCAACATAATGGGAATAACACCTCATCATCAGTATGTGATATCATCAACTAATAGTAAATAAATACATAGAGAGTAACCTCACATGTTAAATGTAACTAACAATCTAATAAATTTCATATCTTTATAGTAGGATTACTTATACTTGCATGTCAATAATAATGACATCACCGTTACATTCAAAAAATTTCATAAAATTTCCATAGATAATATGGTTTATAATAGCCTCTTCATTTTCAATTAAAATAACCATTATTATTCTCATAATTTTTAAAATGTCATTGACATTTCACTCTAATAATATTTTTGTAATTTTTTTTATTTAAAATATTTTCTTTATATTTGCAAAAAAAAAAAAAAACCCAAAATCCAGGGGGGGCACGTGACCCCCTTGGTCCTCACTTCCCTCTACCACTAGAGTTAGGGGTTTGACAAACCTCAATGTCCTGATGACCTTTTGAGACATTATACGATGAAAGGATTGAATGTATGTTAACTGTTAGAAGGGCTCATTTTGTATATTCATAATATCTGGTATGTTCATAATATGTTGCTTGGTGTCACTCAAGATTTGTGGAAGCCTAAGGAAATGTTCCATGGGACATTTAAAATTCATAATCAAGGTTTTAAAAAGCGGCCACAACCGTTACGTAATGGTTGTGGTGGTTACCACCATCCATTACGGCCGCTTTTGTAGTGTGATTGAGATTCACAGGTGTGTCGGCCGTAGCGGCTGCCACAGCAGTTGTAACAGTACCGTAACAACCGTAACGGCCTGTTACGCACCATTACGTAATGGTTCCGAACTGCATCTTTTGAAAAAAATACAAAAAAAAAAAGAAGCTAAAAATGGGAGAAGAAGGATAGAGAGAAGAGGGAAGATAAAAAGAGAAGATGGAGGAGCAAGAGATAGAGAGAGAGAAGAGAGAAGATGAAAAACATGTTATTGATTTGTTAAAACTATAAGACCTATGCTATTCTATTCAACTACTATCACTCAACCATTTTGTTTATGTGTGTCTATCTATATATTGTTTGAAAATAATAATAATACTAATAATAATAATAATAATAATAAAATAATAATAATAATAATAAGCGTGGTCATTATTTATTTGGCTTGGTTAAAATATGTATATATATATATATATTTAGGCTCTTATTTATTCTGTTACTTTTTTCATTGTTTATCTTATATATAATAGTTAGTGATTGATTTTTTGTATAATATAAAGTCATTAATTATTAAAATAAAATGTAAAAAACTCAGTTTATAGTGATTTAAAAATATGAAATATATTAGATCATACTTAAAAATTTACAAAAATTGATCAATATTTATTTTAAACCCAATAAATATGATCATGGAAAAAAATATGCGTACCGATAAGTTTTTTTTAAATTGTGTAAAAAATAAAAAAATTCACGGTTCCGGTTACTGCAACCGTTACGCTACGACCTTTACAGCCCACAACCGCAACCGCGCCACCGCCACCGTTACGGCGATCGCAACCGCTTTTCCAAACCTTGTTCATAATAAATATCAAGAATTTATATTATTTCTACTACATAGATAAGTTTGAACCTAAAATTTCACGCACAATAAGGACAACATGTAATATAATGGAATGAAAGGAGTTAATCCAAATTAAGTGTTAATCAGGGATTTAAAATAATTAAGAGTTTCGAAAAGCGGTTGCAGTCACCGTAACAGTTGCAATTGCGGAGTGTAAAGGCCGTAGAGTAAGATTGCGGTAACCGGAATCGTAAATTTTTTAATTTTTCACACAATTTGAAAAAAACTTATCGATACGCATATTTTTTTTTTCAAAATAAAATTTATTAGGGTTCAAAATAGATTTTGATTAATTTTTGTTAGTTTTTAAGTATAACTCAATATATTTCATACTTTTAAATCACTATAAAAAGGGCCTTTTACACTTTATTTCAATAGTTAATGACTTTAAGAATAATTGATTTTAAATGTCTATAAAAATATTTTTGACGAATACCTGAACTACATAAATAAAAAATAATTACAATTATTAAATGAAATGATTATAATAAATAAATAAATAAAATTGTGCCATAAACAAAAATTATTTTTGAGCTAAAAATTGTGCCATAAGCAAAAATTATTTTTGAGATTTTTTTTAAAGACATTTTTTGGACAACACATTATAGTAACAAAATAAAAAATATTTACAATTAAATATTAAATTAAATGATTATAAAAATAAATACCACTGTTTATATATTTTTATTTTACATGCTAATATAATGCAATAAAAATTAAAAAAAATTATAAAGAAAAAAAAAATTCATACAAGATTTTTTCTTTGGACTTGAATCACTTGAGTATTCATTCTTTTTATGTAAGTTTTTTTTTTTTTCGGAATAGAAACTATTCAGAATATTGTAACGGTGTGCAACAAGCCATTATGGTACCACCCGTTACGTAACACCAAAACAACAGTTACACACAAGGTTTTAAAAAATGGCCGCAACCGTAACATAACGGTTGTGGTGGTTACCGCCACCCATTACGGCCGTTTTTGTAGTGTGATTGAGATTCACATGTGTGTCGGCTGTAGCAGCTGCCGTGGTAGTCATAACGGCACCGTAACAACCGTAACGGCCTGTTACGTAACGGTTCCAAACTGCATCTTTCGAAAAAAACACAAAAAAAAAAAGAAGCTAAAAATGAGGGAAGGGGATAGAGAGAAGAGGGAAGATAAGAGAGAAGATGAAGGAGCATAGAGAGACAGAAGAAGAAAGATGAAGAACATGTTATTGATTTGTTGAAACTATAAGACCTATACTATTTTATTCAGCTGCTATCACTCAACTATTTTGTTTGTGTGTGTCTATCTATATATTGTTTGAAAATAATAATAATAATAATAATAAGTATGGTCATTATCTATTTGGCTTGGTTAAAATATATATATATATATATATATATATATTTAGGCTCTTGTTTATTCTCTTACTTTTGTCATTGTTTATCTTATATATAATAGTTAGTGATTGATTTTTTGTATAATATAAAGTCATTAATTATTAAAATAAAATGTAAAAAACTCAGTTTATAGTGATTTAAAAATATGAAATATATCGGATCATACTTAAAAATTTATAAAAATTGATCAACATTTATTTTAAACCCAATAAATATGATCATGGAAAAAAAAATGTGTACTGGTAAGTTTTTTTCAAATTGTGTAAAAAATAAAAAAATTCACAATTCCGGTTACTGCAACCGTTATGCTCTAAGAAGCACGGGTGCGGGTACGAGTACGGTACGGGTACGAGTACGGGTACACCGCTACGGCAAAACCCCAAAAAAGTAGGGTACGGGTACGGCTGCGGTACGCCGATATTTTTTATTTATTTTTATTTTTTATAATTATGGTTAAAAGATCCAATCTACAAATTGAAATTAAATATCAAAACTAAAAAGAGAACTATAAAACTAAAAGACAAATATTAATATATTTCAATTCAACATAACCAACACCAATTCAGTCCATAATCCAAGCAAAGGAAAAACAACCAACACCAATATCATAAAAATAATATTTATGATTATTAACATTCTGATCTAATTTTTAATTTTTTAATTTTTTGATCTAATTTATGAACCTAAACTGCTGATCTAATTTTTCTAATTTTTATGAACCTAAATATTTCTAATTTTTTGATCTAATTTTTATTAACATTCTGATCTAATTCTGATCTAATATTTATGAACCTAAACTGCTTGATTAACATTCTGATCTAATTTTTATGAACCTAAATATTTCTAATATTTATGAACCTAAACTACATCAACATGACAACATCAGATTATAACTCTCTGAAGAAGAAAGAAGAAACAAGAAAAAAAACGAAAAAAAATAAAGATGGAGAGATTCTGACCAGTTGCTTGGTAAGGCTGATCTGCAGGAGACGAAAATAGATGATAGATGCTTGTTGATCTCTGCAAAAAAAAATGAGATGAAGAAGAAACGAAGAAGATGAGAGAAGACGAGGGTGATGAAACAGCGAAGCAGAAGGAGAAGAAGTCGTACCCGATGCCGTGGGTCGAAGTCGAAGACGAGGGTGATCACTGGGTCGAAGTCGAAGATGAGGGTCGAAGTCGAAGTTGAAGACGAAGCTGGGTCGAAGTCGCCTTTGTGTTGCTCAACTGATAAGATTAGGGCAAAAGTGATGAAATTAGGGCAAAAGGGATGAAATTCGTATATTCATTTTTTTATTTTATTTTTTTATTTTTTTTAATATTGCTCCGGTACCCCTCAATCTCCAGAAAATTTGATTTTTGCTCCGACATACCCAAAACGTACCGAATACGTACCCGTGCCGTACCCATGCCGTACCCAACTGAGGCAGACGTACCAGAGTGGCTTTTGTCGTACCCGGTACGCGTGCAGCCGTACCGGTACGTGTACCCGCACCCGGTCAGTACCCGATGCGTGTACGGCATTATTTTTGGAGTACCCGTGCTTCATAAGTTATGCTACGGCCTTTATACCCCGCAACCGCAATTGTGCCACTGCCACCATTACGGAGACCGCAACCGCTTTTCAAAACCTTAGTTACACGTGAATTTTTGTCACACCGCAAAAGCGGGTGTAACAGGTAGCGCTTACCACTACAACCATTACATAACGGCTGCAACCGTTACGTAGCACCGCTTTTTGAAAACATGAGCTAATTAATGAGATTATTGCAATTAAGAGTTAATTGTGATAAAACTTGTTCATTGTAACGTACTTATCAAAAAAACAAAAAAAAAAACATCTTTGTTATAAGATCAGGAAGATCATCCATCCTTGTGGGACAAGATAGACTTGGCCCTCAAATATGAGAGCTATTATAAGAGCTAGCACTCCAGAGATTGGCATCTGCCTCTTATTGTCTCTCTAGAATACTTGTGAGCTTGACAATTCCTTTGTTATAAGACTTTTAGAGGTCGGATGCTTGAACTACTTTTGAATTGGTGTGAACTCAAAAATCAATCAAGGAATTGAATTTTGTGTTCGAGGTATTGTTCAAACTATTTCTATGGATGTTTGCATCTATGTTTCATATATATCGCAAATATAATCATGGGGATTGAGAATCAAAATAAATTTTAAATTCCTTTACGCCTAGCCTAGGTACGCAATTTCCAACAGATCCTCCATGCTTGTTTTGGATGGAGTAACATAGGCAATATTTGAAGGACTGGAATTACCTGATCTGGCATTAAAACATGCTGATGTGAGATCCCCATATTTGGTTAGCAGGGATTAGGGAAAATCCTCCTTCCATATTGATTTTTCTGTTTAGAATTTGGATGGAATGAGTCTACAGCCTATAGGCTTGTTTTGCTTGCTAATATACATCTACATCCTATCCTATGTACATGGTTGCACCCATTTGATACATTTTCCTGACAGAACATTACTTATTAAAGAAGTCAAGAAAAAGAAATAGTAGCTACCTTGAGTGAGAATAGCCACTCTAACCGTCAATCTAGTTCCCTTGGGTAAATTCACCTATCATGAAAGAATTAGAACAATAGCAGAAACTAATTGTAGTCCATAAGATTGCTACCATATTTCTCATTACAATTAATCAAATGCAGGGAAAACTCACTGTTGCCCTCAGCTGTTGATCATTGTATTTTGGGTCAATGTTGAGACGGAAATGAGCTTCAGCTGTTTCGACAAACTTTGTGCTTGCCATTTGCTTGAGCAATGATATTGCTGTTTTTAAGTCATACTCTTTCTTGTTTTCCCGCAATTTTTGAATTTCCAAGAATCTCTAAGACCTTCTCTAATAATCCCAACAAAAGGAGGATAAGGAGTAAGTTAAAAATGCAGTAACAACATGAATGTGAAACTAGGAGACAGGAATGTGAAAGTAAGGGGGTAGACAACTTAAACAAACCAAAGAGGAGACAAGACCGGCAACAACAGTGATAAATATCACGTTCGGGATTCATGCAAAGCAAATTTTTAATTTAAAAAGGCAATATATGTCAAGAATTTTTTAAACATGAGGTCTTCTAACTCTTGCTCTCTAACAATTTACAATTTATAATAATTTCAAACACAAGGGCTTTTAATCATTTTGAATAATTTGAGAATTCAGATAAAATTGCAGAATTATTGTTAATATTCAAGACCCGATTATATAAAGGCATTCTTCTCAAATGATCATGAACTATGACAAAAAAAGGTGTTCTAAAAACTTGAGAATGAACTAATACTCTACTGCAACCACAACCTGTATAGCCAAACTTAAATAAATAAATAAAGGGCAAAACCACTAGATATAGCCAGAGTTTGTAGATAATCAAAAGATGAAGAAACGAAGAAACAAAAATATGACATACAGCCTTTTTCAGATGCTACAATGGAGGATTCTAAGGGATTGAAGTGCTTAAGTCATCATTAAGATAAAACTCAAGCAAAAACAAGTAAATAAATTACTATAATACACCCACAATACATGGTTTCAATCTCATATTGGTTTCCAATAACTAAAACTGCAACATAAACAGAAATCAAACAAAATTATATATGTAATTCACTACACACATCCACAATCCAAGAAAAACAAAATAAATACCAATTAAAGTAGATCTTAACTAGCACAATCTATTCCCAACTCAAGTATAAGATTCTTGAAGCTAAAAATTTTACAATCATAGTTAAATTAAATGTGAAAATCAAAGAAACCCAATAAATTAAATCACTAATGCGTCCACAATTCAAGAGAGAGGGAAATAAGGAATGAGATTACACATACTCTGTCACTCTTGAGAGGCAATGCAGCTTTGCCTTTCTTGGGCTTAGTTAGGGTAACAACAACACCACCTTCCACAACACCCTCTTGGAGTTGTTCAGTTTCTTCTGCTACCTCTGCTTCAGCAGCCAAAGTGGCCACAGCAACTGGGGAATTGGGTGAATAAAATGAATTTTACGCTTAGAATAATTGTGTAATGAAATAAAATTGTTATGCAACTAGAATTACCCTTCTAATAACTTGCTAAATAATTTTTCTCATCTATCAAACTGTCACTAAACAGTGTTCTCATTTATCAAACCACTCATTTATCATCAAATCATCCACAAATTTAAATATAAAATTACAAATGCATCACATTTGTACCTAACACTACATGTAAACACACATGTAAAATTTAAAATAACTATGACAATTATCTAAAGTAATTTACATCTGAGAGAATTGAAGCAGTCTAGATCTCATGGAAGTCATCATGTTGTGGGATATTTTGAAAAACATCATAAAATGTGACAAAACTACACCAACTCAAGTGTATGCATTATACAATACTATAGATAATATAGCTACATAGTTTTAAAACATGTTTTCCTGTTTGTAATTTTTAAAGGCAGCTTAAACTTGAGGTGAAAATTTCAATGCTTAGGTTGCCAAAATCTACTAAAATCGATCATGATACCAACATGAATAAGACAGTTGGCTCAGTAGTCCATGTAACTGTCCATTGGGATAGTGAGAAAAGATTAGAGTTTGAAGGTCTGAGTTGATAGAGCGACCATAGCTCTTTTGTTGTAATCTAACTTATTACTAACCTACTAACATCCTATTGTGTGCACAAAAAAAAAAAAAATCATGATACCAATACAAGATTTGATACAACTGGCATAAAGAAGCCAATGCAATGCTCTTTGTAAATGCAAACATGAATCTGAATACCTCCCTATCATATTCAACTCAGCCTGTGTCCTACCCTTTTCAAACATTCACAAGTCACTGTGGAGGAAACCAAGAAGCTACCTGAATAGTTTAGAAGATATAATTTACATGTGTATTTAGATTTCCTAAAACATTCGAAGTCGCAGGCTTGAAATCAAGCATTTCCCTTATATTTAACCGAATGGAAGGCCCCATTGATGAGCATATATATGCACTTTTCCAGTATACTCCTTTTGCACCAGATGGCTTGTTTGTTTCTACTGATTTCTGTCATGTTAATTAAAGAAATAAAAAGGAAATACAGTTCAGAAATTGAGTACATATTATTCAGACAGCGCAAAACATGAGAGAGAGAGAGAGAGCATACTGCTGCAGCAAGCAAGTTCACAAGAAGATCTTCCTCAGAAAAATCTGACTTTCCAAAGGGTAAGTGAACGATCCCAGTTTTATCTGCTCTGTATTCAACTTTGCCCTTCTTGAATTCCTCTATGGCCTGAGACAAACGCAACCTGAATTCATTTCATTTCAGCAAATTTTAAGGGTGAAGGCCATCAGAGAATTCATATATTGTTGATAGCACAGCGTGATGATGACCTTTATTTATTTATTTTTTATAATGATAAGTAAATCGTATTAGTTGGCCTCTAAGGGACATAAATCTTGCATTCACTGTGTAAAATATGTGTACAATCATTTACACGAAGGCAAAGTGTCTCCAGTATCAACAACAAGAAGAAAACACATAGACCAGAACAAAAAATAAAACTGATAGTGTTAAACGGTTCTCCCTTTTACTCAGCCAACCAAACAAGACCTCCAAACAAGGCATAGCAAGAACTGAGAGTCTTCTCTTGCCTTCTAGAAGGAATACCCTTCCTTCGAATTACACACCTATGCCATGCCAAGTAATGCCAATAGCAAGAACTGAACTTCCACTGCAGCCCTAAAAAAGGGCAAGGTGGTCCACTGACAAGTCCAATTTGTAGTCATGTTTGCTCTCCTCCTAAGGCTGTCAACTACAAAAACTCCAATGGGTAACTAACCACTCACAAAAAACCCACCTTTGTAGAGAAGCTTGGCAGTCGCTAAAATAATTTCAATGATACAAAGATCATGATAATTTTTAGTCATTTCTACATTTTTTTTTTCTCTAACAAATCACTTTTCCTCAGTCTCATTTGTAATTGTCGGTGAAACATAACTTACAGAAGCTATACCATTAATGAATGAAAATTTAACACAAAATATCTCACCTCAGAAGTCTGGCATCAGGAAACACATCCGCTAGAACGTAAATGTAGACATACATGCATACATAGCAAATTTGTATATATGAAACAAAAAGATCGTACCTGAGGTAAATTAGTTGTAACAGTACCAGCTTTTGGATTTGGCATGAGTCCACGACGACCCAAAATCTTTCCTAGTTGGGCAAACTGATGGGACAGGAAAATGTAAATAAAGTCAGGCATACGAAATAGGATCTCCAGACAATACAAACACATTAATTTATGCATATGTATTTTTACCTAGAGGAAAGAACCAAATTAATTAAGAATAGATCCTACTATTCTAAGTTAAGCCAAATCCAATATTCCTCTTTTGATCCAACTACTTTGCAATTCTTTCCATCAGTAATTACAACTTTCTCTCTAGCTCTACCTTTAATTTCAATTTCCTTTAAGTTGGCACATGCTGACTGTTCAAGTCCCTTTCATTGAGGCATAAGAACCTTCAACACATCCACATAGTTTCTGTTTGGATTGAATTTTAATCTGAAAAGGTTTATGACACACCTCAATTACATTTTTGTCCTTTGAAATGAAAAATCAGCTGACAAATAGTGATTTTGCATAAGTTTTTAAGATGGAAATTCCTAGAGGCCCCAAAATTTCTATCAAATGTTTTACTCACATTCATGTGGACCCCACACTCATGGGGGGGGACCCATACCCATGTGAGACATTTGGTAGAAATTTTGGTATCCCCAGCATTACTAATTTAAGATTGCCTAAACCTTTTCATGACAATGATCTCAAATCGTATCCTAAATTTGGTATCTGAAAGCACAGCTGCAGAAAGAGAGGAAAAAAAGGTAGAAAATAGAATAAATACAAAACTTTGATCATAGGTAATGCACAAATCTCGCAATCTATACTTTTGCTGGACATGTTATAACCAACTTGATAATGATTTTTCATCTAATGAGAAATCTCCAAACTTAAATTTGAATTTTCTGCTCAGAATTTATCCTAAACACTTTGTCTAAACAGGAGAACAGAGATTCTATTGGCATCCACATAAAAAAAAAATAAACCAGACGCAGTCCATATTGATCAAACAAAACAGACCTTAGGCATCATATCTGGAGTAGCAATTAATTATCAAATTCCATGAATCCTCTTTTTATCTGGCCTATCAACTCCTCTCCACCAACCAGATCAGCTCCTGCATTTTTAGCTTCATCTAACTTCTCACCTGAAGATATTCAGCTATGGATATTGAGCCAAGTAATACAACAAACTTTAAGAAGGAATGAAAAATAAAAAATGAGTGCAACATTATCTCATTCTCAAATTCACGAGGCTATGATAATCTGCTTGTATGTAGCACCCTTAGAGAAGCTACAGGCTATGTGGCTGCATTTTGACACGTGTGGGAAACATGGCATAACACAATGGTAAACATTTAATCAATGTTGGAGCATAGCAAGGACACAAGTGCAAAATATTTGTAACAGATAAAAGGGGCTCAATTACAAATAGT